GGAAAAAAAAAAGGAAGGGAGATCGGGGAGCATGGACCAAGGGAGTAGGATTCAGTATGCCTTGAGCGGCGAAGCATTTCGCAATTTTTCCGAGCCTCCAACACGCATCGACGAATTAGAAATACATTCCCGAAACATGGCCTGCACTTACAGGTTCTCATCTCTTTTCTCACAACCACGGTCGTTTGTCCGGCCCGTCGTTGCCCAGGAGCCGCCTCGTCGCCGCCGGTCACCTGGGCTCGTTCGTCGGGTCTGCCGCCTTGTTGCCGCCATCGCCGCGTCGTCGCTGGGCTCGTTTGTCGGGTTCGCCGCCTTATTGCCGCCGTCGCCGCCCATTCGTTCACCGAAAATCATCGATTGTTCAGGGATCCCTAGCCCCCCCCCCAAAAAAAACGGAAAGCACTCGCGCGCGTCGTCGCGCGCGCATGCCGATATCCCCCAAAAACCAGAGGTTGCGTAAATACTTCCAAACCGAGTGCCCAAAAAACATATAAAAACGTGAGGTTTCGCAACACGGAGTTCAACCAACAACAAAAAAATCGCGCGCGCTCTTGCGACTGCGCAAAAAAAAACATAAATTGTTCATCATGTTCCTAAAATGCTACCAAACAAGTTTCGCGTGTGCGCGTGTCCAAATCGTTTGAACGCCCTCGCTCGCGTGCCGTCGCGAAAGTTTTTGGAAAACATGTGCGAAACGCACGCGCGCGACTCGTCGCGCGCGCATGCCGAATTCTGTCAAAAACCTCCGGCTTCGCAACGGTTTCGGAACCGATTGCCCATAAAGGGACTTTGATATAAAACAATAGTTTCGCACATCCATTTTCAAAACAACACCCCCAACAAAAGAAACACGCTCGCGCTCAGGCGAACGCTTAAGAATACCACAGGTCATACAACATGTTCATGGAATTATGCCAGGCGGGCTTTTGGCGCCGCATGCCGAAATCATTCGCACGCCTTTGCGCGCGTGTTGGAGGCAGGCCCGTGTCAAATGACACCACGCGGGCCAATCTCGCGCGTCGGCCGCGCGCGCATGCCGAACTCTTCCCAAAACCTTCATCACTGACGCGAGGACGCCGTCATCGTCGCCGGCGTGATCAGCATTGGCGCCCGCGCTGGCCGCGCCGTCGTCGTTGTCAACATCGTCACCGACATCCCTACTCTCATCATCGTGTCTACCATTGTCGACGTTGCCATGTCACCGCGCCCGCCAAAGTCGCCGACTCACACTGACGTTCCCGCTGGGATGCACCCAACGGTCAGCGCCACCGCGGCCGCGTCGGTCGCGCCAAAATAGCAGGCCGCCGCGCGCGCATGTTTCGGCGCGGCCGCGAAGATGCCCCCGCCAACGCCAAGCACCCATCGCAATCGCCACCGCATGGGTTTTGCAAACTAAGTTGCGGGGGGGGGAATGATTACATGGGCATGGAATGCGTCAACTCGTAAAAATCCATTCTCTTTTCCAAAAAATAGACTCTACCCCACCCCCCCACCCCCGGAGTTAACGGTCCACCCTGGGGTTTTGCGATTTCACAATTATTCTGCACACTCGTCCATCTTAAGTATGGACTCGTACTATCCCAACCAGACTGGTATCACTGCCCCCCGCCATCCCCTGCAAAAAACACTATGCGCGCACTCTCGCGCATCAAAAATCACACGTTTTCAAGAATCCCTTGCACAATTATTCACTGCGTGGGGATCCCCATATGTGCATATCCTTGCTGGCGCTCCCTTGGTGGTGGGACTCGGTGAGGACGAATCTGGATTTAAGTGTGACTGAGCTGCCTCTCTCTCTCTCTCTCTCTCTCTCTCTCTCTCTCTCTCTCTGTCTCTGTCTCTCCTCTTCTCTCTCTGCTCTCTGCTCTCTCTCTCTCTCCTCTCTCTCTCTGCCTCTCTCTCCTCTCTGTCTCTCTCTGCCTCTCTCTCTGTGCCTCTGTCTCTCTGCCTCTATCTCTGCCTCTCTCTATCTCTCTCTCTCTCTCTCTCTCTCTCTCTCTCCTCTCTCTCTTCTCTCTATTCTCTCTCTGCTCTCTCCTCTCTCTCTCACTCTCCCTCTCTCTCTCTCTCGCTCTCTCTCTTCTCTTCGCTTCTCTTCTCTTCTCTCTCTCTCTATCTCTCTCTCTCTCTCTCTTTCTCTCTCTCTCTCTATCTCTCTCTCTCTCTCTTCCCTCGCTCTCTCTCTCTCTCTCTTTCTCTCTCTCTTCTCTCTCTCTCTCTCTCTTTCGCTCTCTCGCTCTCTCTTGCTGTCTCTCGCTCTCTGTCGCTCTCTCTCGCTCTCTCTCTCTCTCTCTCTCTCTCTCTCGCTCTCACTCGCTCTCTCTCGCTCTCTCTCTCGCTATCCCTCGCTCTCTCCCGCTCTCTCTCTCTCGCTCTCTCTCTCTGCTCTCTCTCTCTCTCTCGTCTCTCGCTCTCGCTCTCTCTCTATATCTCTCTCTTCTCTCGCTCTCTCTTTTTTTTTTTCTCTCTATATCTCTCTCTTCTCTCTATCTCCTCTATATCTATCTTCTCTCTTCACTTATCTTCGTCTTCTCTTCTCCTCTCTCTCTCCTCTCTCTCTCTCTCTCCTCTCTCTCTCTCTCTTCTCTCTCTTCTCTCTCTTTCTCTTTCTCTCTCTCCCCCCCCCCCCTCTCTCTCTCCACTTCTCTCTCTTCTCTTCCTCTCTCTCTCTCTCTCTCTCTCTCTCTCTTCTATCTTCTCTCTTCTCTATTCTCTCTTCTCTCTTCTCGCTCTCTCTCTCCTCTCTCTCTCTCTCTCCTCTCTCTCTCTCTCTCTCCTCTCTCTTTCTCTCTTCTCTCTTTTTTCTCTCTCTCCTCTTACTCCTCTCTCTCCCTCTCTCAACTTCCCCCTCTCCCTATCTACTTCTCTCTTTATCTTCTCTCTATCCGTCTCTCTCTCTCTCCTTCACATCCACCTACACATCAAATTAAAACTAAACCTCTCTCTCTCTTTCTCTCTCTATCTCCCCCTTTCTCCCACTCCCTTTCTCTCTCTATCCCTCTCTCTCTCTCTATATATATATAGTCTCGGCTCGAGAGTGCCCTGCACTCAGACCGCAGCCGCGACGCGAAGCGCCCCGCCTCGGAGTCAGACTCCCAGGCCTCGCGAGACCGGAGGGGCCCCAGCAGGACCCTACTGATTCGCGTCACCTCTCCGCACCAGAGTGCCCGCAGCAATGGCCCCCAAGAAGCCGGAGCGCCGTCACTCTTCTAAGCAGCCTCCGAGCTCCCGCCCCACGCGCCCTGCTGCTGAAGGGTCCCTCCTTCAACGCAAGCAGGACTGCATCGCAGCGTTCAGGCAAGCGGGGTCTGACCGCCCCACGGCCGCCTATAACGGGCTAGCCGAACTGAACGCGGACGAGCTCCAGGCAAAGTACGACATGCACAAGTCAAACACGAAGAAGCTTGGCAGCGCCCTTATCCGCATGTGCGCCGCCAACCAGATCAGCTACACGCTCGACCACTACCAGCGCAGCAAGCCTAAGCGCACTGGCGGTGACACTTCGCACCCACCATCGGGCTCCGCACGTCTTCAGGCTGCGGACACCCAATTCATCGCCTTGGACCCTGCCTTTTGGAAGGTCCCTGTCCTTGCCGAACCCACATCACCTGACGACGGCAAGACGTACAAGCCCAGCATCAGCCTCCACGACTACGAGAGCGGTGAACGGCTGCTGCAACACCACCTCGAGCAAGGCAAGCGAGCCACGGGTCAGCTCGCGATTGCTGTCAAGGGCCCGAAAAACGACAACTACGTCGGCACCGAGCTCGCCGTCCCCGTCCTGAAGCGTCACCCCAAGGCGCCCAAAGTGGTCCACACGCACGTCCCCGTGACCGTGTACCAGCTGGGCACCAAGGAGGTCGCCTGCACGGAAAAGGTAGCCGTCGCCACCATCGACCCTGCCGACCACGTCTGCTGGATTCGGGCGACCATACACGAGACCAAGGCCATTGCCGCAGTCCCCTCCATGCACCAGGCCTTCGAGGACCAGTTCTCGGGAGGTGCCCCCGTGAACGGTGGTCCACGCGCCAAGGTCCCTTTTCGAGGCGACTCCGCTCCACAGGACAAGGCGCGCCAAAAGCACAAGGAGTCCAAGAAAGACGCTCGCCGCCAGGAGCTCGATGGCCAGCTCCAGGACACCTTCAAGGCCCTCTTCCACGGCAACTTGAAAGCCGTCACCATCCTCGAACCCTGCAAAAGCCTAGGCAGGTTTGGATCGGGCGTCGGAAAGAGGTCCCTGGCTGCCACCTTCGGCGTCAGTCTACAAGCGGTCGACAAGGTCCTGGCGGGATCAGGGCAACTCGGTGCCACCTACGACCTCAGCAATGTAGGCGCAGACGAGCCCACCGCCGACAAGTATCAGACCGTTTGGTTCCCCGAGGACCAGCCCATCACGATGGCAGACGCGTTCCAGAAGTCGGTGGAGTTCAAGGCCCTGGGAGTCGTCAGGCACGGCAAGTCAGGCCTACTGGGGATCCGTGTTCCACGGGGGTCCGACGTCGCCAAGGCCGCTGCTGTCAGCATCCGCGGCTGCGAAGCTACCCTCACCAAGACGCGCTACCGCATCACTGGCATTGCGGCACGCCACGCCACGCTGACCCAGCTCGCCAAGACTCTCACGGGCCCGTCCGTTAAATGGGACTGTGAGGTCTACCACACCGCCTGGGACCCAGCCACTGCGGCCCAGTTTGCCTTAGTGCGCGCTCATCGGCCCCCACTCACCTATACGGTGCAGGTTGCGGGGTGCCCCATCCCGTGGAGCATCACCGAGGCCCCGCTGGCTGAGGTGGTGCCGAAGCGGGACAACGTTACCATCGTCACGCCTACCACCATCACAGAGCCTGTGACGCCGCCAGCCGGTGGTGGCGGCTTTAGCCCCGCCACCGGCACACTCCTCACAAAAGCGGCCCAGAGCCCCTACCTCCACGACCTCATGACTGCCACGCCCAAAGGCAAGGGCGTCGCACCGCTCCTGATCCCCAAGGAGGAGCCTTCAGCCA